TATTTATATCAGGGCAGTCAGAAGATCTTCTTTTCATCACTTGCTCACTAGCAGCAATCTGTCAGTGTCGCGTGGTGTACGGATTAGTGTTAATAGAGACTCCATACTTTTCACTTCTATTATATAAAATACAAAACGATTATTACAATAACATTTTATAAACGGCCTAAACTTATTTACAAGTAGTGTTTTTCATTTAAATCTTATAGATGCGAAGCGAGTAAAGAAAAGATAGTCTTTGGCGTGAACGGTATATATTAGTATAACATTCAATACGGTTTCATAAAATATTTGTGATTATTTTTTGTTGATGATAAAATTGTTAAAACGTAACGACTCATATTTTAGATAAAAGAAAAAAAAATATTTTTTTATATAAATATAAATTGATTCGTATACTTTCGATATAACATTTTATACTCTTTAAATTCTTGATTAATGATTGCTTCATCTCGTTCTTTTATCAGTATATTTACCTTTTCTTTCTGAAAACCATAATTTGCTTACTCGTAATTTATAGTATTTTTTGCGTAAAAGCGATGAAAGTGCCGTTATGTTTCTTCTAACAATTTTTGTGATAAATCGTTGAAGGTTTTTCAGTTTCAAAGGAGTTTTTATAAAACATTAAAGATAATGAAGTTTGGTAATTAATGCGCACATTTGTAAAGGCGACATTCAAATTACCCGCGAATGTAATAAAGGTCAAACACATTAGGGTAACTCGGGTAATACCCCTAATTGTGTGAAAGATTCGAGCGTTAAATCTCCACTAATTAGTTATGTTTTCCCAACGTTCTTATATTTTACACAAAATTATTTGGAGCTCAAAGGGTTTTCACAAAATCTTTAAATACGCAGCATAAATTAATTAAACCTAAAGAATGATTACTTTTTGTTAACAAATTCGATTATTATTTTAAACCCTACTTTCATAATAATTTGTTAATTAATTTAAAGATACTTTTTTCACCTCAGGCGCTTATAAATTTCTAAATGAGTAAATGAGTTCATGATAAAGAAAACATTTTGTGACTTTTTTTAAAGCGATTTTATATTCTACTGAAGACTCGTAATATTTCTGACATAAACTAAATTGGCCTAAAAGATGTTCTCTTGTAATATAGAATTATTTTTAATTTTGTCAACAAATTATTGAATTTCGTTTATATTTTATACTGAATCTATATTTTTTTACTTAGTAGCATACATTTAAATGAAACTAATATTTTCGGATACCTATACTACAGGTTATTTATTATTTTAAACAACATATTCCCTAGGTTTCGAGTCGGTTAGTTTGCATCAATCTTGATAACGGTTGCTGCAAAAATATTAGTTTAATTTAAGTACATTCGGAAGTTTCACAATTTTTTCACTATATACATTTTGCTTCTGAAAAAATAAGTATTTATAAAATAACCTTTATTTAAATTTGTCTGATTGAATGATAGTAGATTAAGAAAATGTCCAATTAAAAGCTTATAACAAATGCTGAAATTTAGTATAATAACCTTTGAAAATAAAAAAAAATAGTTATAAAACCAATATTTATTATATGACTATAAAACTGTAGAAGTTCAATTAAGCTTAAATAAAAAAGAAATATCGTTCTTATCTACGTTGACTAGATGCATATTGTATACAGAAGAGAGATAATTATGTTGTTTTGGACTCCGAAGTTTAGGTTTATCCATATTTTTGCGTGTTTAAAAAGACATACATTTACAGTGTTTGTCTTTAAAAGCTTTTGTTTGACTTGTTTTGTGGTTATAGAACCTTGAAAATTATTTTTGAAACAGTTATCTTCAATCGGTAGAGTAGAAATTTTTTGCAACATCGTAATTACAAATGTGACACTGTTCCGCAATCAGCACAATGGAATTTTTCGAGTCATATGAACTTTCTTAGAGTATTTAGACATGACCGATTAATGAATTCCCAAAGAGGGTTGATGTCAGGCAGGCGGCCGGTCGTAAAAATCAGTTAGCTAAATCTATTTACCATGCTTCCGCTCACTACGCACAAGTCCCGAAATGGACTCCGCCATCGGCAGGGGTATCAGTGGCTGACCACACCACCCCTCCGACTCAAGAGCAGCGTGCCGGGAACGCCTAATACGCCGCTCTTCCTCAGGCCTATGTTACCCGGACGCCGGTTCCCCCCCGACGCCCGGAGGCTCCTCACTGGGGAGGCAGGTCGCGGGCATATGCCCGCTGAAACCAAGAACTCAGAACCAACCAACAACCAAGTGTTATTTTATTTTCTGACCGTCGTAAGGTTGATGTAAAATGTTTACGAAAACAATGTTTTAATCTTTATATATATGTAATTTTTAATTTTAAGTATTGTTTATTTAAAAGAAGTAATGAATTTTGTATATCAGACCTAAATAAATATTATTGTAACATTAATCCCAAACTGGCCAAAACACATTTCCCCTCTTGTAATTGTTTCAACACTTTATGGGAGTATATTTTTGTTTTTAACTGCTTATTTATATGTATGTTCAAGCAGTTTTATGAAATATATTTATTTAGATGAACGAGAAACAAGAGTTGAGAAGGCGATTGAAATTTGTCTTAAACCATAAAATCATATTTTTTTCTTATTTTAAGAGTATGTCAAAATGTTTTTTAAGTATTTTATATTAGAACCCAAATCAACAAGAACTTCGATAGATAATTATTTCGAAAAAAAGTCTTCTTAAAATTGTATATTTTAATAAAGAATTAGGGACTAACTTCTTAAGTCATAGGGCCACTTCGAAGTGCAATAGATAATATGATATAATTTCTGGCTTTAATGTATGTAAAAATTAGTGATTACAAAAAGCATCAAAACAATAACAGTCTGTATTTAAAAAAAAATTAAACCCCACATAATAGGCCAAATTTCAAAATGAAGGTTTAAAATTTTCCTAAAGGCCTCGAAAATATTTTTAATTTAATTTAGAATCATTTAAACAAGTAGAACTAAATTGCAAGATTGAAGCATTTACTTTGTGTATCGGAAATTCATTGAAGCCACCATTTTTAAAAAGAGAGACTAACATGTTTTTTCTGCCTTACCTGCAGTGTTTGCTCATCTCAATACACACGTCATATAAACTACGAAATTTACAGAAGCCGAGAAGCGGCGTGACTATTTGTCCACTTACTTTTTTTTACGTCCTCGTGTAAATTTACTCCACATTCTATCTATATTGACGCTCTCAGCTAACTACTTCATGGTAAGGAATACCATTCATTTTTATTGCTACTTTGGAATGGAAAAAATATCCATCAGTATGTGAGTTATTAAGTTTCAATTTCAATCTCTTGTATCCTTCATTTTATCACTGAGTGTTTTACAAGACGAGTAAAGTAATGATGTGGTTAAGTAAGCCACTTTTTCAACAAGTTCAATGAACACATGTAAAATTAATACATACAAAATGCAAGCATAAGTAATATCATGTTAATTAGTAACAAAATAAAATTAAACATAAATGGTATCGATAAAATTGTAAAAACAGTATTAAAAAAATATATCAATTACATTAGAATTTTAAATGAAAAAAAAATAATGAACCCTGTTATGTAAATGTCAAAGACCTTTTAATTGCGATAATATTACATCCTCTTTCTTTTATTTATAGTATTTTACGGGTTGTTACTATCGTTTGACCTCACACGTCAAATAATAAACGATAACTGGGTATCTCTCAGTTACATGACTAGTCGTTTTATGATTCCGAAGTTGTGTAAATTGGAATACAGTTATTAATAAAAATGTCTGGTAAGTTGTAATAGTTGTTACATAAACCTTTTGTTATTGATTTCAGTTTCAATAGTGGTATCGATAATGTAGAAAAATGAGTTCAATAACAGTTGGGTATATTATGAATTGCTAAAAATATTAAATCAAATTCTTATTTCTAGCTATAGCCGATGTTAACAAATCCGATAGAGCCCTAAATATAAAGTTTGAAAATGGATCTTCTTTAAGTCTCGAAGATTGCTGGCTTCGAGATAATTGCAGGTAAACACAGTATAAAAAATGAACATTATTTTTTTTCACTCAATGTAAACACAATTCCAGAAAGTTCAACGAATATAAAACCTTTTTCAAAAAAATATATTTATATCCTTTTTCATTGTTACGGTTCTTTTAATTAGTTTTTAAAATTCCGGTACACGGAAACATAAAATTTAGGTTTAGTTGTCATAACCATAAAATTTGCGTTGTTTGGTTTTATTTAACCGTTAGGGGATTTCCGTTGTAAGAAAATGTAAATATATTTTTTTGCTGACTCTTTTTTAAATATATTTATATGAAAACACTGTATGTATTTGCGATTGTTTTGCCATTGGTACAATAATATGATTTGTGTCGTGATTGTATGATAACGAGAAAATTACTGAACCATATAGGTATATTTGATTTAAGTTGAATAAATAGATAAGAGGTATTTTTTTTACTGGATCTATAAAATGAAGTACTAGAAATTAAATTTATAGGACAATCAAAGCGGGAGCAAAACAATAGAATTCTTACATAAGAAGTCAAAGAATTGTCTTGTGCTCTATTGACATTCATTTCAGTATAATTAAGAAATTTCATGTCACAATACATTTATTATAATATTAATAACTGTTATTAAATAAAAGCTTGTTTTAAAATGCATTTTATTTTTGTTTACTTTTTCAGATGTTCGTCATGCTATCACTTCGATACTTTTCAAAGAGCTAATTACTTGTTAGAATTATCAGGCATCCATATAACCAGTTTTAAATTTGACGCTTGTAATCTTTACATTGAATGTAAGAATTCATGATTAACCTTTAATAGAATAAATATCTTTAAAAAGCGACAAAATAAGACACTTAGTAGATAATGAGAAGGTAAGGTAAGTATTTATTATAAAGACTAATATTTTAGGGAATGACAAACATCAGTCGACATACGAAGCATCTTTTTTGATAAAATTTCAATATGATAAATGGAAAGACAGTAGAAAACTGAGACCAATACTATGGAAGGGTGTGGAAATTGAAAATAAAATACCAAAAGTTCATGTTAGTGAATTTCTTAACACTGAGATTGGTGCTACCACAGTGTTCAAATCTCTAATAGATTACGGCGTTGCTTTAATAGATCAGGTAAAAAAATCATGACGTGGTGTTTAAGTATATGTGTGTAAGATTTTTTTTTAATTAAATGGTTTAGGTAGGTGTATCATTGGAAGCTACGGAAGAAGTGTGCAAAGCGCTAGGTGGTGTACAGCATACCTTGTTTGGAGGCATGTGGAAGTTCACCTCAATCCAGGATCATGCTGATACCGCTTACACGAATCTACCATTAGCTGTTCACAATGATAATACCTACTTCACCGAGGCGGCTGGGTAATATAATATAAGTAATATCAGAAAATTTTGTCCTAGGCTATGGTTTGTTTAGTTTTTATTAAGAATGACACCTTTTTTCTAAACTATTCGCAACTTGTTTTTTTTCCCGCGACTTCGTCCGTTTTAATTTCGGAATTAGTAATATACGTTGTACAGTTGACCGGGCGAACTCTATTTTGCCCTAGAGGCCGTAAATACGAAGATAATGGAATGATTTAAGTTTTTTTTCTTTTTTGATTGGAGAGAATTAAATATCTTATATCCGTTTGCTGATTCTAAGGTCACTCTCTCACAATTTTAACCATATAACTACTGCCGTTCTTGAGCTATAAATAGAGTAACTATATCAACTTTCTTTTATATATATGACGTGATATAAACAAAATAGGATATTCTGTTACAATTTATATCTGATTTTTTCTAGCCTCCAGATACTGCATTGCCTGGAACATTCCAATGGCGAAGGCGGAGAAACGATTTTAGTCGATGGCTTTTATGGCGCTACGAAATTGAAAAATGAATTCCCTGAGGATTTTGAATTCTTGACAAATTTTAATTTGGACGCCGAATATTTGGAAGATGGTCATCATTATAGACATTCGGCGCCTGTTATAAATGTTGATAAGGAAAAGAATTTGGAACAAATAAGGTACGTGAACTAACAAATAGGACTTTGATAATATTTTTTTTCAATAAAATCAAAATATAAAAGATTTTGTATATAGAATTTTCATTAAAATTTTAGTTTGCTTAAATTATCAGGTTTAATGTTTACGACCGCTCACCGATGGCATTCTCCAGTAGTGAGGAATGCAGGTCATACTACCGCGCGCTGTGGAATCTTTCGACCTATTACCAAAATACCGACTGTCAATGGAAATTTAAATTATATCCAGGTGAGGTCGTTTAGCGTTATATTCACGTAAAAATTATTTTAAGAACAAACATAAAATATATCATGAGGAAGATATATTTATTTATTTTATTAGTAGTCTTTTTCAATTAAAAAAATTTCACCTGTAAATTCAATTACAATTTACGATGTTTAGAAGAATATTGTTTGTTTATATTTTGTAAGCGATTTCTAAAAATACTCGACCTTTTATAATGATCGGTGGCAGTGACCTACATTGTCACTGACATTTAATTAATGCGATGAAAATTATGAACAATATTTTGACTTTAAATTTAGTTATATAAAGACTTATAAAAAAAAATAGATTGAATATTTGCCCTTTGTTATATAAATAGGTACATTATTAATAGAAAAGCGAAAGCTATTTATATCTGATACTTAAAATTAATTATGAATTTTTAAACAATATTAGGAGGGATCCGTGTTACTCTCAAATGAAATCAGTACGCATGTGATATTTAAACCTGTGGCTTTTACTTAAATGTGATCAGGTTTGGTGATGGTGATGGACAACTTCAGAGTACTCCATGGAAGGACAGCATTCACTGGAAATCGTATAATTTGTGGCAGTTACGTGTCACGCTCCGATTGGCTTAATAAAGCACGCGCTTTGAAACTTATACAGTAGCAGTGCATGTTTTGTACTTCAATAATTAAAATAAACTGATTCTGAAGAAATCATAATTTATGCTTTTTAATATAAAACTCCATAAATTTATGCACGCATTGTTGTTGATTTCATTACAGTCATATTTTAGTTTTCGTATATATTATTCAAATGTTATAAAAACCACTTTATTTCACTTTTATGTTATATATTACTAGATATAGTATTTATTTATAAATTTTTAATAAAAACTAAAATAACATATTTTTTTACTTCTTAATTCTAGTAGCAAATAAATGTTTACAATAATTCAAGTCAGAATCCAATTAAAATTAATGGTTGCCTTATTATAATATGTTTCAAAATATATACAGATTGTTTATCTCTTGATTCATAAAAATATTAATATTTTTATTATATATGTTGTTTTTTAATATTATGAAAAACTGGCTACACAAAAAATTTTCGTTATTATTTTCTTAAGTCTACATAATAAGATAGTAAGTAATTAAATATTATGTCATATTAATCTAATATAAATAATAATATATCTACTTAATAGAAACAATGTTTAAATTTTACGTAATTTCATTAAAATATTAGATATATTTTTTTTAATATTTTTCTATTAAAATGTATGAAAATAATTTAATTTATCACAGATTTCATCATTGGGTAGTTAGTTGAACATGACCCTTATTCTGCCATTAGACATCTCGTATTCGATTGAATTAACTTGATATTGTGGGTTATAATATGTGATAGCAGCAGTTAATGATATTAAGGTTTCACAAAGGAGCACCCCAGAACAATGGAGTCGAATTAACGAAGTTTCTCAACTTCCTAAGACACCCTAATCGGCTTCCAGACTATTAGAGGCGCCTGAAATGTTTAAGTTTGTAGAAACCGTGTGAGGTTGAGTTAACAAAAATATTATCTCTTTAAATATCATAAATATAAACATTGTAACCATGTATCGGATTACTTACAATGTAATTAAATTCTTAAAAAAAATAAAGGTAAAAATTGCGTAGTCCTATTTTTTTACAATGAAGGATCTTTGTTTTGTGGTAAGAAATGTGTTTTGTTTAATTTTGTTAAGAAACTTACAAAATCAATTAAATTAGTTTAACAATACAAAAAGCTGTATAATTATAAAAAAATACATTTTGGTAATTTAATTTATATGGTATCCTATAGACAATCAAATTTAGATAATACAATTGTGCTTCAAAAGAATACTATCATTAACTAAAATAATAGTTTTAAGTGTAGGATGTACTGAGAAAATTTTCAAATATTTTTTTTTCAACATAAAACGCTGAAACGGAAACCGTGTACAAATCGTCATATATCTTAGAAAATCGGCAAATCAATCTTCAATTTTGTCGACGTAGTCTTTGAAATTGGGCTCAGAGAGATATGTATAATGTCTATTAAAACAATTTATTTCGTAACCAACAAGCACCAAGAAATAAGTAAAGATCTTCCAATGAGGCTGTAAAAACCAATAGAGCGGACAGCAATATTCAAATTAAAAAAAAGATATATAATGTCACGTAAGTTCATACAAAAATTTTTGTTATGTAGTAATTCAACGCAAATTACTCAAAATTTTCCTGATATATAAAATGAGATATGACATTATTGTAGAGTTTTATAAAAATCAGTAAAAGATTTTTTAGCTTAAACAGCGACAAAGAGACGATACTTCTTAGCATTCAATGGATTCACCATATGGGTGCCGGGTATATCGTGATGCAAAGAGAGGAGATTCAACAGTGGGATTTGGACTTCTCAAGTAAAGTGAAAAGTAGAGTAATTATTAAATAAATTTATTCTCCAGGATTCATTTGACGTCTGTTTTATTTATATTCGTCTTTATTTAAATTACGTATATACTACTTGTAGAAAGTTGAGATATTATTTAAATAGTAAAGTTCATTACTACTGCTATAGTTCAACAATTAAAATTAGGTTAAGTTAATAATAAAGAGTAATACAGATATGCAAAATTATAAAAAATACCACTTAATGTAATATTTACATCAGAGTGGTTTATGGTTTAATTTTATAATGAAATGAGGGAGAATGAGATTATTATCAAAAGGGAAACTTTTTCACTAAACATCGATGTATAATATATTTTTAAGATTCCTTGAAAAAAATCCGTTTTTACATGAAACTTAAGAAAGTTATTAATACAAATTTGCTTAAAACTTTTCACTTGAGATATACTCATATATATTTTTAGACGCCTTGATTGTTGAATTTAATTTTATTACTTATAGGTTTAGTTTTATTGAAAATAAAATATTTTGTTGTTTATTATTCTTTGGTGTAACTTCGCCATAATTATTAAGTGGCAATGTTTTGTTGCGTTCATTTGAAATGAAAGGAAAATTCACCAATGATGAGAAAGCTATTAGTTTTACTAACTTTCAGCTATGAACAACACCCTTGCCTTTCGAAGATAGTGAGAATGACATGAAACCAATAACTGATAAAAATAAAACAAAAAAAAAATCAGAGCGAGAACTTATTAATTTTTTTATCAAAACTGTTTGAAATATAACATGACTGTATTGTCAATCATAAATATATTTTTATTTTAAGTATAATTTATAACTTACTTAAGCGGCTGTATAATTTTGAAAAGGTTATGTAAAAAGGCATTAATGACTTACAGAATTTACAGAGATATAGTAAATGGAATATTGTATACTTCAGAATAATATCTGCCGTAAAACGAAGTTCAAGGTAACTCACACTTAAACAATTTACAAGAAACATAAAATATTTCTACTGCTTGAGTATTGAAAATTCAATTCTTTGAGAAATATAATGTATTTTGTAAGACATGAACAAGCAGATGTTGCTCGTTTCATGTTTAGTATTACGCGAAGTTTCCCACATGCTTTGCATTATTATAATTACTTCTGTACAAACTTTAGCAAAAGTTACATATTATATTATATTATATTTAAATTATGTATAAAATTATACATATTTACTACTAGATAAAATATAGGTCAATTCCACGTCTCAAGACTTCAAATGTTCAAAAAAATTCATTTGTTTTTCAACAATATTAAAATACGATTGAAGATTATTGTGAATTTAATATTAATATCTCTAGCATGGTTTTAATAATATTTTAATAAATCTTATCTGTATTTTATATAAATAATTAATCATTGCGTGATAAAAGATATTACTATGTATTATATTAGCGAAAGAATGATAAATTATTAATGATAAAATTATTAAAAACTTCTAAGAGAAACTCTTCAGACATAGTTTAGGGACTTCAATTATTATTATCAAATATATAAAAAATAATATATAAATTAAGTGCAAGGTCTTTAGTATTAACATGAATACATATATTAAGACTACAAATATAGCAATCCCGGTAATTAATTAACAATATTAAAGTGACATAAATTAACAACATCTTGTTGTCATTTCATTAAACTTTGAAATAGGCCGTTCTATTGATATATTCAATCTCATCTCAAAATCATTCTTTCCAAAGTCAATTGTTAAGAAAGTGTCGATTTTTTTTAAAAACGGTTTGGCAATTAATTTCATAACTTGCAAGATAATTTATTACTTAAAAATGAATTTTAATATCACAGTATTAGGATTATGTATACTATTAAATGTGATACTTAATCGACATAAATAAATGTATATAGTTTATAATCAACTAAGATAATTTATTAAATACATCAGTAGCACATGTGATATCGTGTAACTTGTTTTATTATATTAATCAATCAACAAAAGCATTGAGCCTTAAGACCTTCAGCAGTGTTGCTATAACGATTTCTTACTAAATGACCGTTTGATAGAACGCGCCCTTGTAGTTACGATCATAAAACATTTTTATTTTTTCTCATATTTCCATCAATGTTTTTGCTAAAACTTGTTTTTTCTCACAAGAGTGCGAGTATAATATAATAGAATTTTATAAAGATTTTTTCACTATTACATTTTCTTTACAATATCCACATGATAGATATAATAACGTTTAAACTTTGATATACACATAATTTAAAACTGATTACTGAAAAAATACTTATAAATTATAAGTTTCATAAATATAAACACTCAAAATCTGCGCTGTATTTTCAAGCTTCGGTAATAATACAAATGATACACATGAAACATTGTCTCCAATACATTGGTTTTGCCAAAGTATTATAATCTTAATCCGTCAACGGTTGTATAGCGACCCGCGCAAGATGGACATAAAAAAATAAAGTTTTAAAGGGTTTACGATATAATTTACGAACCATATTATCTTTAAATAACATATGAACAACAAATAAAATATGTATAAATGAAATTATAAAATGTCACGCCAAAAAAGTTTAATTAAGCAGAATTATAAATAAAATATATGTTTAATTAAGATTATAGTATGCTTGTTATTATTTAGTGCTTCAGTTTGATGAACATTGCAACTGCAAATGATTATAATTAATCAAGTATCTAGATTCATGAGTTTATTCATGTGAAACGTATTCACGCTCTCTGAGCTGGTTTAATTAGAATTTAGGGAGACTTGCAGCTGACAGTATTATATGGTAAATATTTGATTAGCATCATACAACTAAATGGAAAATAATATTGCTTAGTATATCTATACTAAAAAATATAACTATTTCTGATAATGTTATATTTTGTGATGTAGTGCGTTTGTTGAGATAGAAATTTGTGAGATCGGTGCTTTAAATGTTATCTATAGTTATTATTTTTAGATAAATCAAAAATAAACTTGATATACGTTCATAATTATAAATAATTTTGAGGGTACTGAAGGATACAGTTTCATTTAAAAGGATACAGAAAAATTTGTTATAAATTAAGACTTTTAAATAATTGTTTTCTAGTATAGTGTAAGTCAGTGATTAACTACTGAAATAGAGTGAGGTGATAAAGATAATTTAATCACTGAGATTGTAAAATAGGCGCAGAGTCAAATACAATTCTTAAAGTCTTACAACTCTTTG